TCAAGGTTGACTCAGCCTTCCATTCTTCCGAGGTTGATAAAATGAGGATACAATTTTGGGGGACAATATGCTGACTCTGTAAACTGCTTAGAGGGGGCTGTAAAAGCACTATGAAGTGGCATATAAGAGCTAGTGCTAATTACATTCATAGGGCAGTTTTCTACAACAGCAATAAATTGACAATAATCCAGTAAAAACAGTATAAAATAACATTTGAGTTTATTGAAGCAATTTATATTGGAAGTTTTACAGGAATCTCTTTTGCTTTTCCATAGGAAAGAAGGAGTTCATGGATTTTATAAAGGAATTATGCCCAATGTAATACGAGTCACTCCTGCATGTTGTATCACATTTGTAGTATATGAAAAAGTATCTCATGTGTTACTTGGACTTAATAATAAATGAAGATTGAAGATTGACTCCATATATCGTTCTGCACCCTTTCTGTTAAGCAGGAATGCCAACACCTGTCTGGCATAGATTTTTTTTTCTGGATTCATATTTGTCACTTTCTTTTGTTATACCTTTTAAATAGACCAAGATCACCCGCAAGTTGGTATGTTTCAAATATATTTTATATTGATCTCTGTATCACAAAATAAATTGTTCCCATTATCATCCTCAGTGAATTTTCCTTTCATTCTTTAGTTATCAAGGCTTAATATGATTTTTAAAAAATAATGAATAGGACCAAAGCCATACAAGTAGTCTTTGCTTAACAAATGCCCTTTTTAGCAACTGTTCAAAGTTATGACAGTATTGAAAAAGAAACTTTATGGCCAGTCTTCATATTTACAACTGTCTCAGTGTCCCACAGTTATGTGGTCATCATTTGCATGCTTCACAGCTGGCTTCCAACAAGCAGTCAATGGAGAACCTGGAAGTAAAACTGCAAGTCACAGTCACATGACATCTTGTTTAACAACCATGGAGGAAACTGGCATTCTAAGTCCATTGTGCATTCTAAGTCCATTGTGGTCATGTGATGTCTCACTTAACAACTATCACTTAGTAAAGAAATTGCCGTTCCCAATTGTCATTAAATGAGGACTATTAGCAGTGGTGGGATTCAGCCAGTTTGCACCAGTTCGGCAGAACCGGTAGCTAATTTTTGTTGCCCAGGCCCAGAATGGACTTCCAGAAGCGGCATCCACACAGAGAACCGGTTGTTCACATATTTGAATCCCACCACTGACTATTAATATACAGTAACATTTGCTTGATAAGCAAGGCTATAGTGTTTTTCTGATTGCTTTGAAATTAGGACTAAAACTTAAAAGTCTGTGTTGACGTAGTTAAATCAATATTTATAATTAAATAATTATATGACATTGGAATGAATAAATAGCATAACAATGGCTTGCAGGTAAAAATATAGCCATTAACCATTTTTGCCATTGCTCCAATTGTATTGCTGTTTGGTTTATATTTTGCCTGTCTTGCAAAAGTGCAGACTTTTTTTTAACCACTACCCACTCAAAATGATTTGTTCACCCAACATATTGCTGCTCCTCCTACACCAAAATACTTCCCCCAATCTAACCAAGGCAGGGCAAGGAATATTAGCAATTGCTGCATGTTCTAACCACATTGGCATTGTATTTGTGTTTACTCACAAAGAGTTTTTAAGTTTGCCTAGGATTATAGAATTTCTCGTATATTTGACAAAATATTTGCAATCTATCTGTGGGTCTATGTTACTTAAAGTAGCACCATAATAATAAAAGTATGGAAACAGATTTTTT